AAAACTAAAATTAATTAACGCAATTTATTTACAAAAAATAACATTAAATAAAAATACTTATTTTTGTCTTTTTCCTGATTTTTATTGTTTTTATGTTTTTTATAAAAATATTAAATTAAAGGAATTAATAAATAAAGGAAATAATTGAATCAAAATAAAAAAAGTAATGAAAAGAATATTGCAAACCTAGGGGGGTCTGCCCCCAAATAGGAGGTTTTTGCTTAGCAATTTGGGCCCAATTGTCCCTGGCCTGGTTGACTTCTTGGCTGGCGTGTGGATGCATTGACTCAACTCATGTACATGGTGTCCATTAGATCTGGGCTTTTGGATTAAGATCATTGCACGCGTGGCAAGCATGGATGTGGAGAATATGGTGGTCTTCATGGTTGAATCTGCATGGGAATATATATTGAAAAATATTATGGAATAGAAAGGGGGACCTGGGATCGAACCCAGGTCCTGGAAGTCACCAATATGCTTTCTTGCCACTGAGCCACCTAGCGCGTTTTGTATATTAAATAACAAACAATTATTATAAAATAAAACAACACATTAGTGCCTTTTTCGCGCGAATTTTCAAACGAACCAACCACTGATGGCCACCTAAGCGTCTTCTTCCTCGCTTTTGTTTTTTCCTGAAACACAAAAGAATCAGCAACGGTTTTTGCACCGTTCCAAAATAGGCCATTCCAGAAAATAGCGATTAGCTTGTGGTAGCTCATAAATTGAGCGCGAGGGTGGGTTTAGCATCGTCCAAGCACGCTGAGTATGGTCATGGTATCATGGTGATCCAATTTTACAGCGTTAAGAAACGCCCAATTCAAAGCTTGCAAAACCCTAACCTGTATCAATGGCGAATCTTCTATTTTGGCACGAAAACTTAATCAAACCATACAGTTAGCTTTAGAATTAAACACTAAACATAAATCAAACATCAAAAATTATGAAAGATGCATGAATCGTGATGCAAGAATATGGAAAATTTTCTGTACAGGACACCATCGTTCTCACGTTTCTTGGTGTTAAAGCTTATGGTTTTGATTCCAATTCCTTCCTTGAAGTCTCAGCAAGCCAATGGAACAGATATTTTGCCTTGAATCGCCCTGTATCCTAGTTTTCAGTATTTGACTTTTTTGAGAAAATTGCAAACTTGTTGATCAGGTTCTTGCGCAGCTGAGACCTCTTATGCATTAGGGTTTGCATGAGTACTTATATGTGAATGATTAGGGTAGGTTTTCAAAGCGAAAGGATCAAGGAATTGATGGAGAGGATATTGATTTTCATGGCAAAATATTTCAAATCTTTTCATGCATATTGCTAACAAATCATGACAAATCATATTGATTCTTTCCAAATCTAACCATGCACGAAATATTGAATGTATATCATGCATAAAAAGATTTAAAAACCTAGGTTTAGTATTTTTCATATATTTTAATTAATTAAATGAATTTCTAGCATTTAAAAATTCAAATAAATAAAATAAAAATGATAAAAACTTCCCTTTGGGCCAAATGGTCGTGCACATGTTTTGGATGATGGATTTTGGAAGAAAAGGAGGCCCATTAGCATTTTTAGGTCATTTGAAGCAATGTTGACTTTTCAAAATATCCAAAAATTTCCCAACTTCCACAAGGCATATCTTGCTCAATTTTAAAGCTTTGCTCATGTTCTTGGACATTTTGGAAAGGTCTTTGAGTCCTCTAACCAATGTCTTTAGTCCCATGTCATTTTGATTTACCAATCTCAAGTTATGGCCTTTGACTTAAAGTCCCTTTTTGTTGACTTTTGAAAATGACCTATAATGTTGAAATTGATAACTTTTTGTGAGAGAATTTCTTGGACTTGGAGTGTGAAGAGGAGTTGTAGGAAATGTATTTATCTTCAAAATGAGCTTTGGATGGAATTTTTCTGATAATCCATGTGGAAGTTATGCCTTGGTCAAGTTACAGTTGACTTTTTCAGCTGTCCAAATATGGAAACTTTTGCATCTTGATGATTTTTGAGCCAAGCTTTGAGAATCATGATCAAGCATTGATAAAATGATGTTTGTGGCTTCAAAATGAGATGTTGACCAAAAATTTGAACTTTTGACTGTCAAATGACCATTTTGCCCCTATAGTTGACTGTAGTGCAATTAGGGTTTTTGACTGTGCACTTTTGTGCTGTAAGTCTTGAAACTTGGCATGAGGATACTTGACCATATTTGTAGGCATGTGGGACTTGCTTGGACCCTTGGAAACTTCATTTACTTTGTCAGAACCAAAACCCTAATTTTGACTGTTAGGAGGCCCTTGAACTGTGCAACCCTTGGGGAATTTTGAAGCTTGCTCTTTGCAAATCTTGAAGAATATGGGAGGGCAAATTTTGGGGTACAACACCAACCTTCTAGTTTACCAGTATGAACTCTTCAAAATGAAGGATGATAAAGACATTGAAACCATGTTCTCTAAGTTTCAAGTTCTTGTATTAGACCTTCGTGTTTTGAACAAGAGTTATACATCTGCTGATCATAGATTCTGAGGAGTCTTCCTGTGAGATTCAGACCCAAAGTTACAATAATTCATGAGGTTAAAAACTTGAATACTCTAAGCCTTGAAAGTATGATAAGCAACCTTCAAAGCTACGAGATGAAACTGAATAGAGACGAGCCTCAAGAGGCAGCAAATCTGAAGAAGCTTCCGATGAAGGAGTTTTTGATGATAACTCTGATGATGAGGAAATGACATTTATCATCAAACGTTTTCAACAATTATCCAAGAGGAACAATATATTCTCTGGTAGAAGCATTAATATCATATGCTCTAATTTCATATACAAAGATGATGACCAGAAGACCAGTTTTAACTACAACAAGCCTGGTCACTTCATAGTTAAACGTCCTGGTCTGCAGAAGGACAAATCAAAGAAAGACAGCTTCTAGAAAGGTAGCTTCATAAACAAATTCAAGAAAAGTTTCATGGCAACATGGGATGAACTTGATAATAAAGAAAGTTATGACAAAGATGAAGGAAAAGCAAATCTAGAACCGATGGCTCTCATATCATATGATGCAGAATCTGAATCCTGCTCCAGTTCAGAATTAAAAGAAGAAGAAGATGAAGTATTTTCTAGCTTATCTCATTTTGATCTTATTACTTTCATTCAACACCTCACAAGTCATTGAAAAGATAAAGCAAGACACATGCAAATTTTAAAGAGATGTCATAATCTTTTGAAAGAGAAATTAAAAATGTCTAAAGAAACCTCCTGCATATTTAATGGGGGATCGTTGAACAATATTTCCAGAGAAACACGTGTAAGTTATTATCTCATGTTTCCCACAACTGGGCGATGAGGAAGTAACTGGGGGGGTGAGGAAGTCCCTTCTCAAGGTGACATATGACCGTCGTCTCTCCTGGGAGAGCTTATGGTCATCGCCCTAGATAGGTACTTTACAAATATACCACTATAGTATGCAATTTAGTTTTTATGTAAATAATGTATATATTTGTTTAACATTTGGGTACAAGATGCATGTCATTTTAGTGCATATATAATGTATAGTTTTTTTTCAAATTTTGGTGCATATTTTGCTTCATATTCTCTTTTTTTAAAAATATGGTATACAATACATGTTATAATAAAATTTATATGTAAAATAATAAAAAATTTAAATAATCAAAGAAATTCATAATTGTTAGATCTTTCAACCGTGGTGAAATGTTATCACCAATACATCTATCTTCTCACTTAGCTTTAACACAATGGAAACGTCCATGCACCAAAAAACCAAAATGATTTTGTTGAAAATCAAACTCATGACTAAACCACTTTTCATCATGATTGAAAATTCAAACTTTCACAATGGCAATAGTCTGTAGTGAAAAGTAACGCATTTTTTTTTCACATTCTAAATTCTTACAAACCACCAACCATTATGAAACATTTTTTCCAACCAAAATGATAGATTTGTTTTTTAGTGTTTCTCCTTCTAATTACATTTATAACCCTTCCTCCCTTTCGTTACTAAAAAAATATCTCTCTTTAACTTTTAAGGGTTAATTATATTTGTGATCCTCATAAATATCTCATATTTCATTTTTAATTCCTCAAAAAAATTTCTTTTAAAAAATAATTCTCCTAAAATTTTTCATCCACATTTGTGATCCCACTTATAACTTAGTGATGATATTTATAACTTAGCGACAAAATTAACAACAATTTACTACTTAGCGATTGAGGCAATTTTAACAAAAAGAATAAAAAATATGAATGAAAAATTAAAAATAAAATATAAAATATTTAAGAGAATCACAAATATATTTAACCTAACTTTCATACCTGTCATAAAAATAAAAAATAAAAAATAAAAATTCAGTGAGTGAAATGTGAAAACCCTAACTAGGTAGGTGTGTGGAAATAATAAAAAAAAAGTAGATAATTAGGAGGCAGCAATGGCCGTGGGTGCCCACTTCCACTTGTTTTATTGAACAATCATAGGAAGATAACATGACCATGTCCTCACCTATCCCAGCAAGGTTGGAAAAATCTTGTTCACATATTCCTCCACGTGTCAAACTGTCATTTGATGCTATAGCCTTTTCATTTTTTATATTGGATCAATAATCATTTTGTCTCTTAAGAATATGATTTCTTGAATGTAATACTACCAATTATAAAAGCATGACTTTATGGTAATTATTGAAACATATTTCAATGTAACTTTTTTTAATAATTTTGGTTTTCAAATCTGTTTTTAATTAATTAATTTAATATTCAAATATGTTTTGTATAAATTTTTTTTTTAAAATTAAAATAACAGTCACTTTTTTAATAATAATGAAAAGACAAAAATACCCATCCCATCCTTGTATTAAATGGCCACCCCTCTCAAACGCAAAAGACTTCCCCCACTTCAACGTGCTTTTGCCTTCTCTATTATTGCTACAAAGCTATCAAATCAGTGAATGCTTAGAGAGAGAGAGAGAGAGAAAGAGAGTTTTAGAGAGAGAAAATTCATGGAAGTTGCAGGTCTGAAAAAGGAAGCGAAGATGGTGTTTGATGAAACTGAACTGACGTTGGGATTGCCTGGAAATGGAAGCAAAGTAACAGAAGTAGTAGTAAGGAAGAGAGGTTTCAGTGAAACTGAGAGTGAGAGTGACAATGAAAGCGAAATAACCACTGTAGATTTGAAGCTTAATCTCTCTCCCAAAGAAGGTGCAGCAGATCCGCAGTTTAAGCCTAAGGAGATAGCTCTTCTGGTTTCTGATTCTCGCACCAAGCCTCCTGCTAAGTAAGTAGTTTATTCAGTAATATTGTGTCTATCGTCATGGCCGTTTTAAGTTTTCGAAAGTCTCTCTCTCTGTCTCTGTCTCTGTCTCTCTCTGATCTTTATTATAAGAGAAAATTTATTTTTTAGATTTATTAAAAAAATTGTGAATTTTCTTAGATTTTTAGTATTAATATGTATATAGGGCACAAGTGGTGGGATGGCCACCGGTGAGGTCGTTCAGGAAGAACCTGTTTGCAGGGCAAAAGAGCAGTGAAGGATCAGAAGAAACCAAGAACAAAAGCATTGACGGTTCTAATGCAATAACCTTTGTGAAAGTTAGCATGGATGGAGCACCTTATCTTCGCAAAATAGACCTCAAAATGTACAAGAGTTACCCGGAGCTTTCTGATGCCTTAGCCAAAATGTTCAACTCCTTCACCACAGGTAAATCTTACTATTATTAGTAACTTACATTCATGTATCTATTATCTATCAAATCTCATGGAGAAATTAATGGGAACTTGTGTATTAGTTTGTGCATGTGAGTACATGTACACACATGGATGGTCGACATAGTTATTGAATATTAATGTTTTTTTTTTGTTATGTATTGAAATTGAAGGAAATTGTGAATCCCAAGGAATCAAGGATTTCATGAATGAGAGTAACAAGTTGATGGATCTATTGAATAGCTCTGACTATGTTCCAACTTATGAAGACAAAGATGGTGACTGGATGCTTGTCGGTGATGTACCATGGGAGTAAGTTTTTTCATTCATTTCTTCCATAATTAGTAACCAAATTTTATTTATTTTTCATGCAATAATTAGTAAAACACATACCAGGTCACCACCAGAATATACGGTCGAACCCTAGATCAACAGCTTACACTCGTTTAACTTAATTAGCACATGCTAGTTTTGAGTAGAATGCGTATATTTATTTTGTTTGTGTTGACCAGGATGTTCATGGAATCATGCAAGCGTTTACGTATCATGAAAGGAAAGGAAGCTATTGGACTGGGTTAGTATATAGTATATAGTATATAGTATATACTATATGATTTAATTTTATTACTTCAAAATATAAAATTAATTAATGATAATTTTTTGTTATATATATTAGCACCAAGAGCCATGGAAAAGTGCAAGAATAGAAGCTAGCTAGACTAGTCTTTACAGTCCATAGCCTGCTCCATCCTCAGTGCTACTACTGCCTAAGCTGAAGCATGGATAAGAAGAAGGGTGTTGAAAATATATAGATAATCTCTGTTTGTGTGTGTGTGTAACATTATGGTTATTAATTTGTAATATTATAATACTACTTCAAACAAATTAAGCTTTGAGAAGTTTAAGTTATGAACAGAAGCGATAATCACTTTATATTATGTGTTTCTCTTGCAAGGTTTTATTTATATTTACTTGTTGTGTGTTTGCATGATTCATAATAAGAATAATAATGCGCTTGTTTGTTGTTAGTTAACTTTTTCTTTTAGTTTTCTTCATTTCAAGTTGTCTTTTATTAATATTTTCTCCGTTATCATATGCGATTCATGGAATTATTTAGTTCTTCAATTATTTGTATAATAAACAAGAAAAATGTATTTTCATAGAGGTTGGTTTTTTCTTTTATTGTTAAGTCAAGAATCGAGTAGCTAGTTCCTAAACATGGTGGATTAATTGGGCGGGGGACAAGGCCATGTGCATGTTTCATATAGCATTTATACATGCCCATGGTATATGTTTCATTTAGTGTTTTTTTTTTATATACAAATTAGTTTGATTTATTATTCTATTTTATGAAATAAAATAAAAATTAAATTTCATATTTTCTTTTATATATTGTTGTCGAACTCCTACAAATAATATTAAATTTATAGTTTTTTTTCATAAGCAAATATTTTTTATTATATAGAGTTTTAGGGGTAGAATTTTTTTTTGAATAATCATGTATTAAAAAAAAATCACAAATAATCATGTTTCAAAAAAAATTACGCAAATAATCATGTTTCAGATGACTCCCTAAAAGAGGAGTCATCTCACTTGGCGCCTACACCCATTATTTAAGGGGAGGCGCCATCTCACTTGGCGCTTAGGTGCTTAGGGCTTGCCCTAAGTCAAGTGAGATGGCGCCTTAGTGCATTTCTAGGGAAAATTTCGCGTTTTTTTTTCAATCCGGTGCGTTGCCTATTTGATACAGGATCAACAAAATTGACTTTTTATTTAAAAAAAAGATTACACCCATAAGTATTACATAAAAAAAATAGATAAAAAAAACAGATAAATCAGTGGTCCTCCAGAACCCGATAATGACCCCCGGTTCCGCATCCCCGTCCTCGCATTTCCCGTGTTGGGTGTCGTCGCGTTTCCTGCTGTGGCAGGGTCGATGGCCCAGCGAAGTCAATGCGTTCCAGATCCATAAAATCAGTCAGATCTCCATATCTAGAAGATCCGCTTTGGTACAGTCGGTTACCCATACCCTCAAAGTTTGGTCGTGTTGGCGGTGGGTGGGGTTCCATGGTGGGTCTGTAGCACTGATCGTCTGAGTACGAGGGGTAGAAAGGAAATGAATCTTGGGGTGTTTGGTATTGAGGATGTTGGGTGGTTTGGTGATACTGTGGTTGATGGTAAGTTGGGTCGGTTGGTTCGTAATCTTCTGACATTCCCAGATCAGGGCTAAGGCTGGATGTTGAGGGGCCCATATTGGGATATACAGAAGACTGAAATTGTGTGTGGGGTATGCGGGTGTGTTGGTATTGTGATTGGAATTGCGGTTGGGTGTGAGGCATATGGGGGTATTGGTACTGATGTGGTGATTGTGATTGGTTGTGGGGCATTTCAGTGTAATTGTGTTATGGTGGGGACTGTGGTTAGGTGTTTGTGGTTCTGTTTTGTCTGGGGGATTGGTGGGAGGTTGATGTGTGTTGGGTTTGTTGTTGGGGAAACGAGGGTTGTGCCCATTGTGTTCGTGGGTCAACCAAATATCTTGGATAAGACACGTGCAGGGTTACTAACCGACATGTACCAAGATAAATATTGATCCGTGTGTCGCATATTACTATGATTGAGGAAAACCGGGAATTGCAAGACATGTCGGTGACGCTTCTGCCACATCTTACACCATTCTGGAGCAAAGTCTTTCTAGTTGGTAAGACCCCACTGGGTGTCGACCCTTTTGAGATGCCACGGGGACAAACAAGTCGGATCACTTGGTATCTCTTGACGCATTCTGAACTGTATCTTCACACGGTCGTTGTGGTGCATCTCCACAACATTGAACCGTATGATTGCAGTCTTGGCACTCCAAATTGATGCATCCTCGGGGTTTGGTTCATGGCCCAAACCCAAATATGGTCTCCAGACAAACTGCGAAAAAAATTAAATCAGGTTAATGAAAACGTAATATATAAATAATTTAAATGAAGAAAAGTTAAAAGGTACGACGTACATCATCCGGGCCTAGGTGATCCAACAGATTGCGGTATAGTGCGACATTGAATCTTGGATTCTTGCCGTAATCCATACCCCTCACGCAATACCTAAAGGAAATGAAAAACATTTTATTTTTAGCATATATTTGGTGAAGAGATGAATAGTAATAAATGATATAACTTGATGACTTACTTTGTTGCGTACGGTAAAACGAATGTGTTGTTGTTGACGGGGTTTAAGGACTCCATCCTCCACCAACCCCAGGCTTAAAGTAAAAAAGTGCAGCCATAAAATGTACATTTTTCCTTGACTGTATTTTTGCACAAGGAACTGTATAGGTGGGCTAAAACTGCAGAACCCCGACTATACTTTCTTGTTTTTTCAAAATCTCTAAGTAAATGTAAATACATAAAATTTACGCTATTTCCCGTACTTTCGGGAAATAAAAAGGTTCCAAATAGTATCATTAGATAAGTTCTAGCTTTTATCACCCTGTCTTGCTCGGAGGAATTTTCGTTTAATTCCAAACTTGCATAATGATTTTTAAGCTCTGTGAGTAGTATACCCTGACCTCTCGCACCACCGCCTTCAACCATATCCCTGCCCAACAATTCTTCACACTGAGAATTGGGTTGTTGAACCGACCCATTAACGGCCTTACCGTCGACAAGGAGACCCAGTAACATGTACACATCCTCTAGCGTGACGGTACATTCACCTATTGGTAGGTGAAATGTATGGGTCTCTGGTCTCCACCTTTCCAACATTGCAAGAATGAACTTTGAATCAATTGTGCAGTTGGAGATCTTTATAACATGTTCAAAACCTGCATATTCCAGACATAGTACGATAAATGGGTCGGGAGCCAGGTAGTTGTGAGACCGGATTCTGAATCTTTTGGTATTCTGAGTTAATAATGTAAAAGGTGTAAGATTAAGTAAGATGAACAAAGCATTACTTGAAGTATAAAAAATGTATAACCAAAATAGAAACTTACAAATGCGGCAATGTTGTCCCTTGTGCCTCTGTGAGAATCGCCCATTGTGAAAAGAGCCATTGTTAAAAATGTCTGAGATTATGAAAGACTTAGAAACTGTAAGAGATTATGAAAGACTTTGTAGCAGAGAGTGAGACGATTGTGGGTGTGAGAGAAGTATGTTATGCTCTGTATTTATAGGCAAACAAATTTCATATAGTAAGTGAGGTGGTAGCTGGTGCATGCATGCATGACAAGTGTCACTCTTGCAGAGTAGACGCAGCTAGGTGGAAACCTTGGAGAAGGCATCTCTGCATGTATGTAACACGATTGGGCATTAAGGGAGGCGCCATTGGACTTGGCGAAAGAGTTCAAAAATTAAAGTTGTCGCCATCCCATTGGCGAATAAGAGGTGTCATGGGTTGCAGAGTAGGCGCAGGCTAGGTGACAGCCTTGGGGATGCCATGCCTGAATGCATGTAACACTATTGGAGGTGATGGGAGGAGACTTACATGTTACAGTGTAGGTGCAGAGTAGGCGCAAGCTAGGTGGTAGCCTTGGAGGTTACATCTCTGCATGCATGTAACACGATTGGACATTAAGGGAGGCGCCATTGGACTTGGCGAAAGAGTACAAAAATGAAAGGTGTCGCCATCCCCATTGGCGAATAAGAGGTGTCATGGGATGCAGAGTAGGCGCAGGCTAGGTGACAGCCTTGGGGATGCCATGCCTGAATGCATGTAACACTATTGGAGGTGATGGGAGGAGACTTACATGTTATAGTGTAGGTGCAGAGTAGGCGCAGGCTAGGTGGCAGCCTTGGAGGTTACATCCTTACTTAATTCAAATTCAGTATGACCTATTTAGTCTTACATTTATCAAAATACTGCTTCACTTAATCTGTCAAACCTTCCAACCTTTAAACCTTCATACAATCAAACCTTCAAACCTTCAAACAATCAAACATACAAACCTTCGAATAACTCATAAACTTCAAACATTCCAACCTTCAAAACCTTCCAACCTTCAAACCTTCATACAATCAAACCTTCAAACCTTCAAACCTTCAAACAATCAAACATATAAACCTTCGAATAACTCATAAACTTCAAACATTCCAACCTTCAAACCTTCAAACCTTCAAACAACCCTACACAATGGCCTCTGCACCCCAATATGTCATCAATGCACATTTCAACAGTGAAACATACATTTGTCCCACCTCTGGGTTTTTGTTTAGAGACACAAACAACATCCGATTTCTTTTAAACGGGAAAGCCAATTTCTCGTACTTCAAAAAAAGATTGGAGGCCAAACTTGGACGAGGCCCGGTGACACAGATATTTTATCAGAATCTAGTTTTTTTTGGAAAAAACCAAATAATATTTTATAAGGTTGAGGTTCAAGATGATGAGGATCTTCAGAATATGTTTTCCAGCCATGTGTATTCTAGGTACGACTCTATTGAGTTGTACATTATGCTGCGAGAGCCTCAGGTGACACAAGTGGTTTATCCTTTGGAGAACGAACAAGCAGAGGTAGATGCAATTGATGAAGAAGAAGAAGATGACGAGTTAGAGTTTGATGAAATGGTGAATGATGATTCCGACGATGATGGCATACCTAGTATTCCTGCAAACGAGATCTACACACCACCTCTGCACATGACAAACTTTAACATGGGCGGAGATGAATCGTCTACTGATTTATTTTTCAATCCGTATATGCATTCAGATGAAAACTTAAAAGAGAAGGA